ACAAGGTTTCATTCAGTTGATCGGTCACATTTTTTAAATTAGTGAAAAATTGGAAATAAACTAAATATTAAATATTTTTTACAAAATGCTATTATAAACATATTCATAAATACAACTTCTTTTTTTACTATTAAAATGTGTGGTTTTGCTTCTCCATTAATCAACTTGTTTGGTCAATAATGTATGAAGTAGTAGTTGTTAAGGGTGTTTATTAAATGGAAAGCTTATGATTTACCTACCAATTTTTATTTTAAAGTAATGATAACTTAGTAGTCAAATAATACATACAAAGAAGTTGAGATTTTTGATAGCACACTAATTATTATTAAAAGTTTATATCATGTATAAGGTATTCTTAAAGTATCTAAGTTGGTTGTTTGATGTATGAGAAATAAAAATACATATGTATAAATAAAACATATAAAACATATATATATATATATATATATATATATATAAACATATTAGGAATTCTATAATTTTAGTACCTGATGGTATGTAACAGGGCATCATGGAATGAGAATAAAACAGTTAAAAATTTTTTTCTTACTTAGATTGATTAAACAAAGTGGAAATTCAAGTTTACCAGCTCACTGAGCTATTTTAAGAGTAATTTTATTTTTTGGTTTTTTTTTTTTAATTTTTTTAATTTTTTTAATTAATTAATTATTTATTTATTTATTTTTATTTGCCTCAGTTATTTGGAGACATAGAGGTAAGCCAAATCAGTGTCTGGCTTTATAGTTAGATCCAGGTGAGTTTAGGGATTAAATAATTGTTTGAATTGTGTCACATATTGTAATGATGTGTGCAAAAAGACGATGGAATTTTTATTAGAATTTTTTTACTATAGCAAGATAAGCATAAATTCTTTTGGTTTTAATTACAGATATATTTGCATTAGTTTCTGAAAGTGAAGAAGAAGGTATACACATACAAACCACATACACACAAACATTCTTTGCTAGAGGGTAATTAAATAACAAAAATTTAATAACATACGATGAAATGAGCTCCTGTATATTAAGAGGCATGTTCATTTATCCAGAGAAATAACAAAGAATGATATGGTGA